AGCTTCAAGCATGTCCATCCCCCAAACATTGCACATCTTACTGGTTGTGGTTGTATATACCCATCCCCTCCTCCCGCCTCCCACCCTCCCAACATCCGATAAATGTTACTCCTATATGTCCACTTAGGTGTTGATCCGTTAATACCAATTTGCTGGGGAGTACATGTGGTGCTTTTTCTTTCCATTCTTGAGATACTTCCCTTAGTAGAATGGGTTCCAGCTCTATCCAGGAAAATACAAGAGGTGCTATATCACTATTGTTTCTTAAAGCTGAGTAGTATTCCATGGTATACATATACCACATTTTATTAATCCACTCATAAAACTCTAAGTTTTATATATCTATTTTGTATTCATATTTCTTGCCAACTAATTTTTCTAGTTCTTATGGATTTTTTTAGGTATTTAGGGCTTCTATGTATATAATTATATAACATATAATGTTATATACTATTTTAGCATTTTCACTAATTATTTCATTTTTATATCTTATACATTAGCTAAAGTGATGTATATATATGTGAAACTTTAGCTATATATATAAAAAATAATGGTGGTAATGGTAGACAATCTTGTATTTTTTCTATTTCAATGACTTTTTCTTTTTAATGTTTATTGTAACACTTCCCAGTTTTAGAGACTTTATATTATGTTAGGTTTTTGTTTCATATAGAATTATTATAAAATTAGCTGCTAGGATTTATTAAGTTCCATTTTAAAATTAATTCTGGATGTATTTACTTTTTATCCTTTTATTTACTGATATAAAATTCTAGGGAGATTTCCTAATGTTGAACCATCTTTGTTTTACTCATTCTCATTACTTTTCTATTTTTTCTTGTTTTTAAATAATCTCTAACTAAATAAAAATCAAGTTTTATTTTGTCTTTGACATGATAGAATGAGCTTTCTTTTATTTTCTAAAATCTCTAAGCAATTTATTTTCTTTAACATGCAGTATCCTTATCTTCAACTGATTGTAACTTAATGAAATTTCTTTTGTGATTAAGATTATGCTCAATATTGATTATGTATTTCAAAGATACTGAGAAAAAATGTGTTCTCTGTTTTTAAGTCACAAGATTAAATAATAAATCATTTTAAATTACCCAAACCCTATATATTTTGTATACATAAAGAGACAAAAACTAGAGGTGAATTGTTTTTCATTGTTCACAAAACATTTATCCCATTACTTGTTTATTGAATTTTGATTTGGCATTTTTGGGAACATGCTTACTTTGTTTATTGTTTGCAGTATATTCCTTAATTTGCCTATCTTTGATTCAACAAATTTTGTGTTACTTTGTCTTAGTTGTGTTTTTAGTTAGATTTTATGCCTTTCAATATCATCATTTTTTCATATACATTTAGTGTTATAACTAATCGTTTATAACTTTTAAAAATTTTATCTTTTATAACTCGTTTCTTTCTTTTGTCTCTCTAAAAATGCAAACTATGTTATGTGCTTTTTTATTTTTATTTTTCAGTGTTTTATAAGGCTTCATAGGGTCCAAATTTACTCAACTGGCTGTTACTTTCAACTTTTCAAATTTATTCCTTAATCTGTATTTCTGTAATTGTCATAGTTAGATTGGAAACCATATTGTTCAAGCATATTGTTTTCATGCTTGAAACAAATCACTTAACTCACATTTCCCCTTACCACTTAACTCAATATTGTGACTTTGTTTGTAATATTTGAAGCTTTAAATTCAAATAGTCACTATTGGAAATTTTTCTCCTATTCCAACAATATCTCTATTTCTACTATAGTAACTTTTCTGCTCTTTTTAAAATATTATTCTTTCTAATATTGGAGTATTTCCTCAAATGTCTGTTGATTTGTGTATCTATTCCTACTTAGGAGGAGGTTCTGGAAATAAACCAAGATGATTAACAACTAAAGAATAAAAATGAAAAATCATATGAATATCTCAGTAGGTACACTTGATAACATTGAAAGTCTATTCATGATAAAATTATAAGCAAATTAGGAATAGGTAAAACTCCCTTAGTCTATTTCAAAATATATATTTTTGTATATATAACGTATGTATGTATATATACATATACATAAAACATCATACTTAATGCTGATACTCAATGCTTTTTCCCTAAAATTGGAAACAAGGCAGGGAAATCGATTCTTACCCCATCAGCTTGTATTTAAACTACTAACCAGTGCAGTAAGACAAGACAAAGGAAATAATTGTCAGAAAAGAATCAGTAAAATAGTCTTCATTTGCTGACGACATAATTATTTTCTATAAAATCCCAAGAAAATCTAGAAATACTTTACTAGAAGTAATACACAAATTTAGCAATATTATAAATGCATGCTTAATATTTTTCAAACCAATTCTATTTCCATATAACACGGACAAGCAATTTAAAAAGCAGTACTACTCAAAGTAGTATCAAAAAGAATAAAATAACTACGAATGTATTTAATGAACACATGACTTATATACTGGAAACTATAAACAGTGCTAGGCAAAATTAAACTAAATAAATGAAAAGATACACAATGTTAACAGATAGGAAACTCAATATTGTTAAGATGTCAATCCTTCCAAATTTATCTATAAGTTCAATGCAAGCCCTATCAAAATCCAAAAGGCTTTTCTTGTAGACATTAGCCAATTGATCTGAAAAGATATATGTAAAACCAAAGAACCTAGAAAATCCAAGACAATTTTTCCTAATTGACTCCAGGATTTTCTTTGAGCTCTAGTTTTCAACCAAAATGATGTCAGCATATGGATAGACAAATAAGTTAATGGTACAGCATGGAAAGCCCAGAAATACATTCATGTTTATATTGTAAATCGCTTTTTGAATATTTTCATGACCTTGGGATAGGAAAAGATTTCTTAGATAGCACACTACAGTCATTACTCATAAAAGAAAAATATGAGAGACTGGACTTCCTCAAACTTAAAAATACCTCCCCATCAAAAAACATGCTTAAGTAAAGGAAAGCTTCAGACTGTGAGAATACATTTATAATACATAAGTCACAGAAAACATTCCTATCCATATTATATAAAAAATCCTCTACCCATCGATAAGTAAAAGGAATCTTAATAATATAAATTGTCCAAAGAGTGGAACAGATACGCACACACACACACACACACACACACACACACACACATATATATATCTCCAATAAGTACATCAAAATGTGCTTGACATCAAGAGTCATTAAAGAAATACAAATTAAACCTAAAATAAGATATCATATCATACACACTAGAATAGCTGAAATTAGAAAGACCATCTATAATGGTCTTTGAAAAACAGTTTGGTAGGTTCTAAAATGCTTATACATGCTCCTACACAATGACCCAGCAATTCTACTCCTAGGTATTTATCCAAGAAAAATTAAAACATCTTACCACAAAAAGATACTTCTACAGTTTTATTCATACTAGTCCCAAACTGCACTCAACCCAAATGTCCTTCAACAAGAAAATGAAAAAACAAGATTGTGGTAGATTCACAACATGGAATACCACTCAACAAGAACAAAAAGGAACAAACTGCTCTTCAACGCAATAACATGGGTGCTGAACAAAACATGGCAGACACAAAAACATATATTATGTATTATTCCATTCATGTGAAATCCGATAACAGTATTTACCATGGTGAAATAGATGACAGCAATATTTGCCCCTGAGAGGCTGTCTGGCTGCATGTAATCAGAATGTGGGTTCACATGCAGGGATGCACTATTCTGTTCTTCATTTTTCAAATAACGCATCAATTTTTAGCCTTGTATATTCCTCTCAATCTCCACTGCCTCTTCACAGTTCTGCAGGGCACATTAACTGCTTTCCTGATCTCTGGGAGGAACCTCCACCTACAATAGCAAGTCTCTCCTCTGGTTGAAATTTTTCATCTACTCATTGTTCTCTACCATTTTCTTTGTCATTGTGAATCTAATTGCTTTGTTAGCACTTTAGTGGGGTCTTTAATAAAGGGGAAGATATACTTCTCCCTAATCTACAATCTTTAGCCAGAAAAATTTTATATAGGAATTAAAAAGCAGTAATGTGGGGAGGGGGAACAAAAAAGTTTGAAAAAGAAAAAGTTGTAAAAAACAATAAGTGGTATTATTATTCCCTGCTATATTTTGAGTACTGGGAAATGCTGATAATTCACTTCTGGTTTGACAAAGAAGGCTTATGAGTTCTCATAGCATTTATGATACAGAGATGTTGATTAAAATATTATCATAGCAATAAAATGGTCAAATAAGAGCCAGAATTACAGACTCAAATGTAACATTAACTTCATAGGAAACAGCAGCAATTTCTGAAGTTCAGATGCTGAAAAATATTCACTATATATAACAATAGCTCAAACAAATATATGTTAACACAAAGCAGAGCTGGATGTCCCAGGAAATATTATTGATGTATTCATAAAATTCTGAATTTATACCTAATCATATCATTGTCATTATTACGCTGCATAATATTTATGCATTAATTTATGATTTAGGATGATATTTCTCCCTTAACAGCTTGCTTTTCTATTTCTGAGATTGTTTTTATTTTTCAGAGATTTAATATTTTCTTGGTTGTTAATTAAGATGCATTTTCAAGGTTGGAATTTATTTTTATATCATTGTTTTTCATTTCTCTATGGATGACCTGCTTACTCCATCTTGATTTTCTAGGAATTTAGATTCTTCGATTAAAATAATATTCTAGTTATGTTTAAGTCTAGATATCTTTACTATGGCTGTCATCAGGGTGGACAGGAATTTTTCAGTCCTATATATTAGTCTTTAATAACTTCCATGCTTTCTTCTATTATGTCTTTGTTTATTGCTTCAATACCATTTACTCTGGCCTCTACTCAGGATCACCTATTTTATATGTGTTCATCCTTCATAGTCTAACACTGATACATAAAATCTTACATCCTCCAGAGACGTATAGGAATTCTCATGACCATTTTTACATGGTATCCTTTTTCCCCAGGATGTCCACAGAAGACCAGAACATAGATGGCAGGCTTAATTATGACTATATATTCAGTTACTTCAAAAGATTTAAGGTGAAGATTTCATATGCGATAGAAAAGACATTTCCATTCCTTGAGCTCCTCCGTGACCATGAATTCATCACAAATGAAATGTTTGAAGTAAGTAAAGTTTATAATGTCACAAACTGGTAAACAAGCTCCAAAGTAAACTGGGCTTTAATGTCCTAGACCCAAACTTTGGGGTGCAAATAGCTGACTGAGGGGTCCTCTATGAATGGGGAACATTTTCAAGTATTTCCTTAAGTGTTCCCGTAAGGCAGAAGGATAGGGGAGAAACGGAAATCACCAAAGATGATCCTGCTTCTCACTGAAGGAGTGATGTTCATGGCACCCTCTGGTGTCTGGGTGAATGGACTGGAAACAAGCTGGGTCAGAAAAAGGGACACTCCACAAATGTACAATGCTTTGTAGGGAAACACACAATCGAACATAAATTAAAAATTAAAAATAATTTTAATAGATTGATGCCTAATTTTAATAAATTGATATACTGAAATAGTAATTAGCATGGCATTTTATTTCAATTAATATCAATTTAAAATATCTAGATTTAAGAGCTTAAAAACCCACAGAAATTCGTGTCTGGTTAGGACAAATCTGGGAGTAGATGTTTGCTATTCATTCTCCAACATCTTTCAGGTTTCTTTTTTTTCCTTCTTTAATTTTTTTAATTTGGGTAATTTGACCAGTAGGGCATGTTGGAGACACAGAACAGCAAGTATTCTCTTTGCACATGAGTATGCCTCCTCTGTGGCCAAGTTCACAGCAAAAGGAGGATGGTCACCTGGTTTCTCTGAGCCTTTCAGTCCAAGTCATTCCTGGGGAAAGGGCAGAGAGTGTCATCAAACAGAACAGCCCCTCATCACTTGCTAATCTATTCCTAAAACATCTTGGCCCAGCTCTTAAAGGGTTACACATCCTTTAACTTTAACCCACTTTTATTATTCTTCAAAATGGCTGCTTTTTACATCTAATAAATGAGGATGATGAGATCAGATTCATCAATAGGTAATTTAAGGAGGAAGGCTTTACGTGTTTCTTTTAGTACTTGTATGAATATTAAAGTTTATAAAATTTTATAATTTTTTATTTAATTTTATTTTAAATTTTATTAATTTTTTTATATAAGAAAATATATAAGGAAATTGGAATACATTAATCATAGAATTTCTTTCCAATGCTCGTTGAAATCTGTGTTTATATTTTTTCCATTCAATATTTTTTAAGGATTGTCAAGCATCTTGTAGAAACCTGGTCCCTGTAAATAACGTGATTTACAGCATTCTTGATGAACTGGAGAAGAAATTTAACCTAGAAGTTCTGAAGATATTGTTCGACGATGACAACATAAAGGAATACCCTGGTTTAATTCCCATTTATAAAACCTTCTTAAATGGTACTTAGGTTTATTTCCTACCTTTTGAGGTCCAGGGCCAATTGTTTACAATAAGCATGTATTGAACTTCTGCCATGTGCCACACACTGTGCTGAGCAGTGGAGACATAATAGTCAACAAAACAGGCATGTCATGAGCCTTCTTGAAGCTTATGGTACAACAACCACCTGGAGGTCTGCTTAACTGGACATTATACTCATATGACAAGGAGAGCCAAGTTGGTATCAGGTTTACTTAGAAGAACATAGAATAAGCAACACAGAGTCTCAGGAGGGCAGCATCAGTTGCTTGTCTTCAGCAGGAACCCTTACACTGGTCTACACAGCAGTCCACCAAGTTGACTGCTACCTGCCTTGAATGACAGCTTAGCTGTGGTTGCAGGATCCACCTTGGCCTGGCATCACATGCCCGTGGGATTCAATATCTCTGATAACAACTCCGCAGTCATAGCTTTCAGGGACCCCACAATGGATAAGCTGAGGTACAAGAGTTACCACGTTGAAGGAAAGCCAAAGTTACCACTTCACACCAGACATTTGTAGTTCATGCTTAGTCTTTCCCAGCCTGCCAGTCAATGCGTGTTTTCTAAGCACAGTGTTTGCCTAGAAACACAGCAAAAAGGCCACAGTTTCCAAATTAATAAACAAGGAGGTTAACTCGGGATCAAATGTGCCTTTAATAAAGGTAAATGTACCCTTTATCCACAAGAGGTGAAGAAAACATTAACCAAATAATCACAAAACTGATTGCTCTGCCAGGGATTATTTTTGATGCTATACAAAACTAACGGCTTGACTCTAGGCTTTTTCCTGAGAAGGCATATTGTACTGTGTCATTGGGACACAGTAAAGAGGATGCCCTTCCATTTGTTTTACTTGCCTAGAAAACTTTTTATTCCAACACAGTTTGGTCTCAACCCAGTTCTCCAAATAAGGCTAGAGACATCACAGGAAAGGTGGGCACATGCCCTGAGCAGGGTAGATGCTGTGGGAACAGGAATATAAGTGTGAGAGCATATCTGCAAAGCAGAACAAACTAGATTTGGCCAAACCCAAGAGTGCAAAGCAGTGTAGGAGCTTCCTCAACAGAAATGGGTTGGAGATATATTATGAAGGGTCCTGCAATTAAATCTAAGGAATTTGAAATTTACTTAAGAAGCTATAAAGAAATACTATAGATTTATAAGCAAAGAAAAAAATTTAAGCAGGTATATATGGCTTGTTGATTTATATCAATAGTAACCTTATCTAATTAAGAATAAAATTATTTCTATAGCAAGTCATTCAAATCAGAAAAGGAAATTAAAGAAATCCAAATACTTGGGTACAAATTTCAAGTCAATATTATATCTGTTACCCGGACGTCCCCAGGTGCTGGGTGACAAGGGAATGGTGTTACCTTTACTCCTCACATCTTAGAGGCTCTGATCCTCTCCGTGACTACTGGGGCCATCCCCTTCCTGGGCTCCAAGTGGCTCCTTATGCTTGAGATACACAGGCAAGGAAGCTCACACTGGCCAGGGCACTGCCCACCACCTTGCTCAGTACAGTACCCCTTTCATCAGGGAGAGGTTGCCTCCTCCTGGACCCTGAAGTCCATGCAAGCTTCCCCTTTGTCCTCTGTCATGTTTCTTTGGGAATCGTTCCTCCTCCCTGACCCAATTAAGCCAAAACTACCTTCTTTGGTAGCCCCATTGCTAAACCTGTTGGGGTTCTATTTCGTAATCAGCTCTCTAGGACCCAAGACCTTCTCCCCAAGAAATCCCTGTTTCTTCCTTAGTTTGAACAGTTCAGAGCACTCACTTCACTTTTATTAGTTATTTTGAAATGTGCTTTCCCTGCCATCTGAAAATTTCTTGAAGTAGCATGGCTCACAATGTTTTCAGTTCTCCTTTACCCTTAAATCTTGAGTATCTCTGTTCTGTGTGGGAAACCAAGTCTTTCTAGATGAGGTCTTCTCATTTCTGTCCAGGGGATGGTGGGAGAATGTTGAGTCATGTGTGACTGACTCACTGAGCTCTCACTGACCCAAAGGGTTGAATTCCTAAAGGTACAATTTCTAGATGTTGTCCCTGATCTCAGCTGGAGATAACTAATTTCCTTCTCTTTTCTTCTCTCTCCTGACTCTGTTTCTGTCTCTTCAGTGCTTCCAGACAAATGGTATTTACAAGGAATTGATGAAAAAGGGAGAGAGGAGGGGCCCAGCAGCCAACTAACCCTGGAACAAGGTAATAACAACAGGGCAGAACGTTCTCAGCTGCTAAGAGGAAAAGGGGCCCGAGGTGCTGAGTAGAGACTGTGACTCGGGGAAGAATGAGGAAGGACCGTGGGGACGGCAGGGCGGGGAGTCTGTCTGAGCTCCCACCCAGGCGTGGGGTCCTGGAGGAGCAGCCATCACAAGACACTGCTGGCCCAAAAACCAGGATGAAGGGACAGGAGCGAGTGTGTCAGTAGCCAGATGGAAAGACACTAACTGCCTGGAAGTGATGGTGATGTAGCAAGGTCCCTCCAGCAGAAGATCCCTGTGAAGCTGTGAAGGGCTAAGAACTGTGGCCCATGGTCAATACTAAAGAGAAAGCTCTGGGTGAAAGACAAACACCGTCTTAGTTATCTGAGCCCTCACACTCACAGCACTTCTGGCAGCACATGTGGGGGGTTTCCCCACACCAACCAGTTCTCCAGTTCTCTGCAGATGCCAAGTGTCCTCTGATTTAATTCAGTTCTACCAGTGTTAGCCCAGACTGTGCATTTAATGGCTTGGTCTCACAAGACTGTCCCTCCCTTCAGATGCCAGTCACAGGTCTCAGGTTGTGGCCTGTGCTCCTTACCAACTGGCTGTAAATCAAAGGTTCCCATGAGCTCCTCTTTGGGTTTGATACTTGGCTAGCACAGCTCACAGGACTCAGGGAAACATTTACACATGTTTGCCAACTTATTATAAAAAAAATACAACTCAAGAACAGCCAAATTGAAGAGATTCATAGGGCAAACTATGGGGAAGGGGTGCACAGCTTCTGTACCTTCTGTGGGTGAAACACCCTCCCGGCACTTCCATTTGTTTGCCAGCCCAGAAGCACTCTGAACCCAGTCATCTAGGGTGGTTATAGAAATTCCATTATGTGGTCATGATTGATCAAGTAATTGGCTATAGTTTATTAAGTCGACCTTCATCCCCAGCTTCCCTCTTTGGAAGCTGGGGGAGGGGCTGAAAATCCCAATCCTCTAATCTTGTGTTTGTTCCCCCCCCAGTCTCCTTCATTAGAGGTTTTCCAAAAGTCACCTTAAGATAACCACAGGTGTAGTTGAAAGGGGCTTATTTTATGAATGGCAAAATATGCTCTTTTCACTATTAATGCATAGGATATTACTAGGGTTTTAGGAACTCCAGCCAGGAGCAGAGGAAGTCAAAATACATATTTCATATGACATCATGATATCACACTTCTTGATGGCAGAAGAAAGGACTAATGTAAATGTGGGGAACCCTGTTCCAGAGCAGGAATATTCACAGAGAAATGAAGTCAGATAAAGGGACACAGAGGAAGAGGTTCCCATGTGGAGAAGAAGACCTGGGTACTTTGAGAGAGAGAGGCAGGGGGAGGGGAAACCAAAGACAAAAGAGAGGCCCTCTTTAGCAGCAGTTCACTGAATAAACATCTGCTCCATGGCAGCTGCTGGTTTAGTGCTGATGGCTGCCACTGGAGATTAGTGTTACTTATGTGTCCATCTTGCAGAGAACGAAATTGAAATCTAGGGAGACCATGTGTGGATTTTTCCTAGGGTCAGATGAGCAAAGATGAACCCAGGTGTTCTGAACCCAGAGCTTGTGTCTAACTCTGTGCTGCTACCCAGATAATCGAACAAAAAAGGCAGAAACATAGAAGAAAAATAGGTATATACACACAGAGACAAAAATACAGAGAAAAGAATAGCAAGACCTGCAGGAAGTGGAGGCAAATCAGAGGCTGCATCCTCATGGAAAGGCCAACAGAAAAGAGTGAGCAGAAGGGGCACAGGCAGGGTGGAACTGAGGGAGGGACATTTCTGGGACAAAGGCAGGTTCACTTGGGCCACAGATATCAAGACAAGCCATGGCCACTTACCAGAGTGCAAGGTGGCCTGGCCAAGGACTCTCAGCCAGTGGTGCGGCTGACCTAGTGGGTCTGCCAGTTGCCAGTGGGCTCTGCACTGAGACTTACAGGGGTCTTTAACTCCTACACTATAGAGACTAAAAAGGGATTGGGGGAAAGAGCAAAACTCATACTGTAATTTCTGAAATAAACTTCTAATATCTTCCCCCAGGAACTGGTGAAAACTCCTTTCCAAGCCTGCCTGGACCACACTTGGATTCCTCCTTTTCCACTGGTCTGTTCCTGTTGACTGTTATGTCCTTTGTTGCCTCATTCCATACTGGAATGTGCTGTGGGGCTGCCTTTTTGTGTAACTGATTGCCCAGAATTTTCAGTCTTTGCATCTGCAGTGTTTCAAGTTCCGGATTTGAATGACAAGTCTTTATCCTCCATGTTGCCTGGGAGGGTTTCTTCTTCCCATACCCTTTGGACACACCTGCTGCCAGTTATTGCTGGCTCTTGGCCTGGATGTTTTACTCATGTGCCTGCTTCACACTTTCTGCCTGTGTCTGCTTGACTGTGGCTACTGCCTTAGTGCTTTGACCTCCATCCAGTGGTGGCCCACACATTTGAAGGGACAAGAAGTGATGAGCAGCAGGGGAAAAATAAAATATCTGTGAATCAAAACATGGTTTAGGTACAACCCCACCTGAGAGTGGACTCTTGGAGCACCTCTGTGAAACAGAACAAGCAAATACAAGGAGACATGACACAACCGGAGACAAAAATGATGAACTAGGACACCCACAAGCAAATCAACAATGTGCCCAAGAGCCTGAGCCACCAGGTAAGACTGACTCACTGGGTTTGCATGAGGAGGGGCTGGGGAGCCCTGGCTGAGGGCAGGGAGTGGACTAATTCTGGATAGAGGGAGACAATTATTTAGTAAAGGGGAAAATTGCACAGACATAGAGAAGACAGGAATGCAGCCTGATATCCTGATGAGACAGACCTGGAGGAGGAAAGTTAGGAAGGAAAACTGGGAGACAAAGGGGAGAGTTGCAGGGACTCACCAGGGAAGAGAATCAGAAACAGAAAGCCTCCTGGAAAAGGAGGCTTTAGAGAGAGGCTGACCAGAAACTCAATGAAGTACAGACACCTTCACAGGGTAGATGCAGCAATATATCCAGAGAGGGCTCTTATGTAGAACCTTGAAAAGGAAAGAGAGGCAAGGTGAGGTATAAGAGAATGGACATAGGACAGAGCAAGGCTCGATTTCTTCTCAGCTGTGCTCTCTATTGTCTTCAAAGTCCTGTGGACCAGTAGTGACTAATGGAGATGCAAGAAAGGAGTCACCCAGCCCATTGCCCTGTGATGAACAAAATAATTCTTACCTATCTGGGCCGGGCTCGGTGGCTCACGTCTGTAATCCTAGCACTCTGGGAAGCCGAGGCGAGCAGATTGCTCGAGATCAGGAGTTCGAAACCAGCCTGAGCAAGAGCGAGACCCCATCTCTACTATAAATAGAAGAAATACAACTAATATATATGATTAGCCGGGCATGGTGGCGCATGCCTGTAGTCCCAGCTACTCGGGAGGCTGAGGCAGCAGAATTGCTTGAACCCAGGATTTTGAGGTTGCTGTGAGCTAGGCTGACGCCATGGCACTCACTCTAGCCTGGGCAACAAAGCGAGGCTCTGTCTCAAAAAAAAAAAAAAAAAAAAAAGAATTCTTACCTATCTATAAACTTTCTTTTTATTTCAGATGCTCTATATTTTTTATTGTTTATTTAATTTTACCATCTTAACCATTTCTATAAATTGACAAATAAAGAAGTGTATATATTTGTCATATATGACATTATTTTGAAATATGTAGACATTGTGAAAAAGGCCAAATGGAGCTAATTAGCATATATGGGCTCACATACTTGTCATTTTTGTGGTGAGAATACTTAATCTATTCTCCGAGTAATTTTCAAGGATACATTACTATTGTCATCATGTTGTATAGTAGATCTCTTGAATTTATTCCTCCTGTCTAATTGAAACTTTGTATCCTTTGACCAACATTTCCCCAATCCCCTTTTTCCCCAACCTCCACCCATTTATTATCACATACTCTCAACTTCTATGAGTTCAACTTTTCTACAGTCTGTGTATGAGTGAGATACACTATATTTGTTTCTGTGTGTTTGGCTTATTTCTCTTAACACGGTGTCCTCCAGATTCACCCACATTGCTGCAAAAGAGATTTCCTTCTTTCTTAAGGCTGAATAATATTCCATTGTGTATATATGTATTACATTTGTTTAACCATTTATTCTTGATGGATACTTGGGTTGATGCCCAATCTTGGTTGTTGTAAATAATGCTGCAATGAACATGGGAGTGCAGACATCTCCTCAATGTGCAGTCAGTCCCTGACTTATGATGGCTCAACTTAGGCTTTTTCAAATTTATGATGTGTTTATCAAAATATTAAATGCATTTTTGACTTATAATACTTTTGATTTATAATGGATTTATGGAGATGTAGCCCCATCATAAATCTAGAAGCATCTGTATTAATTTCATAACCTTTGGATATATATACCCAGTGGGGAATTGCTGGATAATATGTTACTAATTTTTAATTTTTGAGGAAACTCAATACTGTTTTCCATAATTGTTGAACTAATTTTCATTTCCACTAACAATGTATAAGGGTTCCCTTTTCTCCACAGCCTTGCCAACATTTGTTATCTTTACTCTTTGATAGTAGCCATTCCAACAGGCATGAGGTGATATTTCTTTGTGGTTAATTTGCATTTTCTTGATTATTAGTGATACTGAGCATTTTGATACTGTTTATCATTTATATGTGTTCCTTTGAGAAATTACTATTCAGATCATTTTCCTATTTTTAAAGTAATTTAAAATTAGTTTATTTGATTTTTTATTTTTTTATTACTGAGTTGTTTGAGTTCCTTATATATTTTGGATAGCGACCCCCTCATCCAATATGCGGTATGCCAATATATTTTCCCATTCTGTAAGCTTCCTCTTTATTCTGTTTATGGTTTGAACAACAAGGTATGCAAAAGCTTTTGAACATGATATAGCACCACATGTTTGTTTTTCTTGTGTTGATTGTGTTTTTGGTGTTATAACTGAAAAATTGTTGCTCAGAACAATGCCATGAAACTTTCCCTCTATATTTTCTTCTAGTAGTTTTACAGTTTCAGATCTAATATTTAAATCTTTAATCCATTTTGAGTGGATTTTTTTAAGATGTGAAGTAAGGGTCTAATTTCATTCCTCTGAATGTGGATATGCAGTTGTTCTGATACTATTTATTCAAGAACTGCCATTTTCCCATTCTGTGTTGAAAATCAATTCAATATAAATGCACAGATCCTAACTTTCTTTTTTTTTTTTTGTTCTATTTGTCTATGTCTCTATTTTTATGCAAGTTTCATCCTGTTTCAATTATTATAGCTTTGTACTATATTTTCAAGTCAGTTAGTGTGATACTCTCAGATTTACTCTTGTTTAAAATTGCTATGGCCATACAGGGTCTTTTGTGCTTCCACACAAATTTTAGATTTGTTTTTTCTATTCTATGAAAAACACTGTAAATGGGTTTTTCTCCTTTCTACAGGCACCATCTGTGAGGACTCTGAGAAACCCAGTGATGGAGATGGGCCCCTGGGAGCCTCCATCTCAGCACTGGAAAGTGAACATGATAAGAAAGGTTAGGAGAGCAAGGCTTGGGCTGTGGGAATCTGAACTATGCGTTACTATTTCCTGATGCACTTTATTATGAGTCCTTTCTATGCTTTGGATGCAGTTTATCCTAAGGTCTCATTCTTTGCATTTATTTTACTTGAGCCTTTTGGGAAGTACAAGAAGACAAGAAATTGTTATAAATTTATTTTTGAGGATTAGGCTTATTAATTGATGGACTCTATTAATCAATATATGTACCCAAACATTGATTATATAGTAGAAATATGACAGCAAAGTGATAAGTTTATTTTTAAAACTGACTGGTTACAGTGCCTGAAATGTGTTAGATTTATTCATTAATTTCTACAGAGAACAGAAAGCTAAATACTCTTTTACAGGTAGATCATTTTGTCATCTGACTATAAACTGTGAATAGTGTCAAAACACAAATCATCCAAATACTTAGTGTCAGGAGAAATAAAGATTTGTGGTAAAGTATCCTGAGACCTGAAGAATTGTTTTTGACGGAGTTCTTTGGCAAGTCATGGCATATGTAATGATTTTTCAAAAGACTTTGGCAAATAGTATTTTTTTCATTACAATAACCATAAAGGATAAGAAGGATAGGCACTGTCATCTTTGTTGCCTAGATAAGAAAACACAGTCACATAAATGTTTCAAGGTCATCTATAAAGACTCATGGAAAATTAAAGCAAAGTCAGGACTAGAATCCTGGATTTTTAGTTTTTTCAGAATCAATTATCAAAATGTTGTGATATCTCAATCCTATTTGCAGTAAGAGTTGTCATATGATTTATAACTCTTTAGTGTACAAATTGGTGATTTTTGCTTCTAGATCCAGAGAATATTGAAACATGCCACTTTAGGTAAAACACACTAGGAAAAGACCAAAAGAAAAATACAAATGTTGACTCATCTTGATGTTGCAAAAGAACAATGTGTTAAATACATTCATTCTAATTGCTCACTGTATCTTTCAAAGTAAAATGAAAATTTCCTTCATTTTCTAGTCCATGCACACTCTAACTTTTATCTTAGTTTAAGAGAACTGCTCTGAAATGTAGTCCTTAAATGTGTCTATGGCTCAAACAAAAAAGATGATTTCTCAGCCTTGTAAATAGTTCAAGGAGTCCCTTGGATAAGTGGCGGTAGAGGAGGCTTAACACCTTCAACACAGGATCTTCCAGGTCTCCTTGTATGGAAAGCAGAGGCAAACATGAAGGAAATTTGAAATGACAGGAGAAGTGGAAAGAAGTAACAAAGAGCAGTGCAGGAAAGCAAAAATCAGCAAAGCAAAATTGCCCCTTGCCAGTGAATTGTCTCTGCATGTCGGGATGGGAATGGAACATTACCTACTAGGCACGCCACTTGGAAAGGAAGACCAGCGTAGCTTGGTTGCAGTCCAGGACTTGCATGGATTTGCAAGGTTTTCCAAAGATTTTTTTATTAAGGGATTTCCCTAAAAAATCCTATTCCTTTATGCAGTCATCAGTGACTATGGCTCTTCAGATTTGGGAAAGAAAGAGGCCCAAGAAGCCACTCGTTCACGACCCCAGATTGCACCAGGTAAGAATATTGAAGTTGCAATTCCTGGGCTACAGAATATCTAGAGTCATAATCCAGAGGTCTGTTTTCCTGATGAATTTTATTCTGAACAGTCTCCATATGCCTTGATTCTATAACTTCTAGGATATCATTTTCTGCATTGAACTTCACTGGCCCTCTTGGGAAATGAAAAGTGTCAGGAAGGCATTATAAACTGTTGTTCAATTGAATAAGTCCTTTGAAACTGTATATTGAAAATGTAGCAAAAACATGTGAGTAGACGGTCTGTTTTACTACTCACTATTGTATTTTTATTAATGCTAAAGAGTTGGAATAATGTATTCATTGTCTACCATCACCCTTTATATTTGATGGAGCACTGTCAGCATAGGATTCCTCTGTCTGTTGATATGTTGTAATTGGTCACAACCTCAGAAAGTCTTCAAAGTATAATTTATGCTATTATTTAATTAATTAATGTCAATGAAAATATTTCAACCATATTTGTTGATGTCAATGGGGAGGGAATAATAAAAATCAAAAAGAGACAGAGAAAATAGGGATGGAGTCAGCTGTATGGTATACAAAATACCTAGAAAAATAGAACCAACATGGATGAACACAGACATAGAATGGAGCAGCGATTAAGATCATTACAATGACAAGAGAAAAAGCAACACAAGAGCCAAGAAATATCAGGGCAAGATAAGCTCACAAAGTCAAAGACATAGAGTTGGAAATGTATAGAGTCCGAACAAGGGTTTATAAAAATGAGAGGTAAGGGTGAGAATGAAGAGTTGCCAGATAGGAAAGGAGAACAAATCTCTGTTGAACAGGAGGTGTAATCACTGGAGTAAGTGTATACCTTTATCTGCTCATCTGATCTCTGAAAATAGTTCAACATGACCACATTGAGCTGTGTTCCCTGGTTCCCTGGTCACCATCTATAACTAATCATTTTCTTATTTGTCTTCAATGTCCTATGAATCTAAAGCTCTTCAAATGAATACAGAAAGAGTCAGAAGAGATGCAGCCCATTATCCTGTGATGGAGAAGACAATTATTATCTTAGCTAGCATGTATCTTTGTTTTCCTACATGCCTGGAGGAAAAGCTCTTTCTCCTTTTTCTAACCTCTCCCCAGAAACATTTACAGACACAAATACGCACATGGACACAACACACACAGACTTCTGCACAGGCTGTGACTGCTTTCAGCAGGTTTGAGTCAGGCAAAAGAGAAAGGAGGGTTGGGATTCTCAGCGAAGGAAGGAGACACTGAATGGATCATATAAAAAGAAATAATGGAAAAAATAGGCTGTGGTCAACAAATTAAAAGACATCAGAATAAACTTCAAGTTTTTCTTCGTGGACATAGGATCTAAATATATCACTAGTTAAGGAATTTTGTGGGGGAAAAGGGATGATTTTCAAGATACCTCTCAGAAGTTATAGCAGAAACATCTAAAGTTGACAACTAATTGACAGGGTTGCAATGTAGAAAGCTCATAAGGAACTGACAGGTAATAGAGCTGGCCGTGTGCTCAGTGTCAAAAGAGCAGGCATTTGGTGATGGTGAAAGTAGTCTGTGAGATTATACTGAATACAGGTGGAGAAAATATAGATACCACCCAGGGAAAGAGAGTGAGGACCTGTGTCTACAAAAACAAAAATTTAAGTTAGCCAGGCATGGTGGCTGCACCTGTAGTCCCAGCCACTTGGCAGGCAGAGGCAGGAGGAAAGGTTGAGCCCAGGAGTTTGAGGCGGCAGTGAGCAGTGATCATTCCGCTGCACTCCAGTCTGGACAACAGAGTTAGACCCAGTCTTAAAGAAGAAACAAAAAGAAAACAAAAGAAAATACAGATAAAGATAATTGTTGAATTCATAAGACCAACCAAAAGATCATGATAATATTGAGAGAGAACAGAAAAGGAAGCTATGGTAGAAACAGTATCCCCTAAATAATAAAACTATATCTAGAAAAATAAAAAGGAAACTAGGTGGAATGAGATATATGCAGGAGGTTATGAATGGAGAGGAGTGAAACATGAGAGACTACAAGAACTATGTGGAGAAAGAGTTAAAAGATGAGAGAAAAATGGAAGAGAGAAAGGACAGTGTAAAAGAGAGAGGGGGGAGAGAGAGAAAAACTGTGGGATCTGAGATGATGGTGAGAGAAAAACAACTTTAGCACAAGGCTTGGTTCCCAGTAGCAGTGAGTTTTCAGGGGTAGTTGTCCCCACGTATCATAGTGGCCCCTGTAACTCACCCAGATCACAAAAGTCCTTGCTGAGGCATTTCATACTTTTCTGTCCCTTCAGTCACCACCCCAAACCTGACGATTCCTAAACATGTATCTCCAGCCAGCTCTGTCTACTAAACTTCTGCACCCATTCATCCAAGAGGTGAAAGCCTCTGTCCAAGGCTCTGAAGGCCATAGGCTTCTCCTATGAATGTCTCTCAAGATCTACAAACTTCAAACTGAACTCCTCCGAAACTCAGCACATCATCTTTTCACCTAAAAACCAGCCTCTGCTTCTCCAGTGTTCTCCGTCAGTGAAACACACTGTTAACTGATTCCTTCTCGTTGAAATTCTTGGGGTCATTCTTGAAAGGAAAGGAGAAATATAGTGAGGAACAAGAAAAGAGAAAGAGATTTCAGAGGCATATCCGTGATTTAATATAGCAGTGGGTAGTCACTAATGTTTGAAGAGGGAAGGGCAACAATGAAACTATTTACAAATTAAAATTTAGGATTCAGAGCTAAAAAGACCTGAAAAGGAGAAGTGTTCTTGTGTCAAGTGTTTTTCAAAAGGTGTGCCAGGAACTCAAGAAGCAACAGTACAAACTAGGCAAACACCTGACATGATGGATAAGGCTGCCCAAGGGTCTTGGGATGGACAGGGCTGAGCGGACACCACAGACACTAGGGAGGGCTGTGACAGGCGATCAGAGTTCAAGAAGAACATGAAGCAGCCTCTGACTCCCAACAGGAAGTGGGCCCACAGACCCCAAGTGTCAGAAATTTCAAAGTCTGAAATCAGAACTCCCGTTCCTGTACAATTGACTGTGAACACACTGTGACAAGGAACAGGCCTGGTCCAGGCCAGAGTCCTGTCCTCTGCATTTGCTTGGCCTGACCCTTTTGGGAACTGCAGGGAGGCAGGAGATCATTATAGAGCCATGTTTAACAGGATGGGCTCTCGTGGTTATGTAGGGATGATGTAGAAATATGCTGGTTAAAAATAGTACCTCATTACTATATTAGCTATACTACTATATATCAATACTAAAGTGTTGGATTTATACAGTGACTTTCACCCTTTGAAGGATGTCCTCCAGCATGTTACTGATTTATATGGTGATTTCCTATTAACTTATTTGATCTTCACAAAATATTGAAAACCTGAACAGAGTAAGCATTGCTCTCCCTGTTTTGTAAATGAGGAAATTGGTGCATGTAATTAAAACTTTTTCAAAGTCTTAGAGAACTAAAGGAAGACCTTAGATATCAGTTCAGTACCTGTTTATTTCCTTTAGAAGGAAGGCAGGAAATGATACTCAGAACATCATTTTAAACGCAAGCCTTTCACACAGCGTGAATTGTCATAAGATTTGTAATTTTTATTTATAAATTACAGTTGTCAGACCAAGATCTGTCACTTTCTAGATACCACGGATTCTGGAAACAATTCAGCTTTGGAAAAACACAGTGAGAAAAGAAATAAAAATAAATGATAATGTACTGAATTTTTATGTTACAAATGAACTATTTTTTAATGTTAATATTTATTATCATTATTTTCTATACCTTTTATGAGACAAAATATAAATGCCTTTTAAAGTAGCAATTTATTTTTTCAAAATTCTCATATCTTCATGTTGTTTTTTATTCTGATTTCAGCATATGTTTCTTGTAAACATTGGTGTATATTTTTCCATAATTGCTCTATACATGTATTAACACATTTTGAAATATAAGTCCATTTATTTAAATGAAGTAATTTTATACATATTTTTATTTTCTTGCTTTTTAAACTAATTTATCATATTTAGACAATAAAACACTTAACATTTTTATTTGAAACATAAAAAGACTTATTTCAGTATTGCTTTAACTTGCATGGTTTTCATTTTTAGTGTGGTGAGGAAATTTTTATTTGCTATTGGTCATTTGTTTTTCTTCTGTGTGAAACTCTTTGTTGGAGAATGCAGTCAGCGTTTTCTGTTGTGGTGTTTATCTTTTTCTTACTATGCTCAATGAATATAGAAATACTTATATGGGGGAGGCACAGGGGCTCACACCTGGAATTCCAGCATTTTGGGAGGCCAAGACAGAAGGATTGTTTGAGGCCAGGAGTTCAAGACTAGCGTAGCCAGCATAGGGAGACCCTGTATTTACACACACAAAAAAAAATTTTATGTTACTTGGGGATGGTGTGACACACCTGTAGTCCTAGCTATGTGGGAGGCTGAAGCAGAATGATTGCTTAAACCCAGAAATTTGAGGTTGCAGTGAGCTATGATTAGGCCACTGCACTCCAACCTGGGCTACAGAGAGAGATACTGACTCTAAAAAAAAAGAAAGAAAGAAAAGAAAAAGAAATACTTTTATGTTATATGCATTAAATGTTGGTCTTACATATTTTGTCCCATTTGCTGTTTCTTTTTAGGTTTCTTAGGGGAATCTTTTGTCCTAGAGAAGTTTTAAATTTTAGGCAGTTAAACTTGTCAGCCTTTTTCTCACTCGTGCCTGGATTTCATATCATATTTACAACAGCCATTTCTTTCTCAAGATTTAAAAATTATTGTTCTATATTTGATTCTAGAATATTTGGAGTCCCTGATTACTTTTTTATTTTTTTTTAATTTCAGCATATTATGGGGGTACAAATGTTTAGGTTACCTGTGTTGCTTTTCCCCCTCCTCCCCGGAGTCAGAGCTTCAAGCGTGTCCATTCCCCAGATGGTACACATTGCACTCATTATATATGTATAATACAGCCCCTCCCCCCATCTGCCTGATGCCCAATAAATGTTATTCCTATATGTCCACTTAGGTGTGTATCTGATTACTTTTAATGTTCACATGTATAATCCAGTGGGATTTGCCTCTTGGTGTATATGAGGTTGGAATTTAAAAAATATTCTCTATGTTATCACATCATGATTTGAATCACCAGTTTGATCACATTGTACCTTCACCTGTCTGTATTCTGTTTTACTTTTGTAACCAAAGGGGCTACAAAAGATAAAGGAGAACTCAGAGTTCTGCCTGGTATTCTTCCTTGTTTGTCCTGGTATTGTACTTTATATTTCCATATCAATTTTAGAATCAGATTTACATAATTTAAAGAGACCATCTATTGGTACTTGTAGTGGAATCGCCTTAAATTCACAATGTTATGAAAAGAGAGTTTCCATCATTATGGTGAGACTGCCTGCCCAAGAGCGCCATGTTGGTACATTCATTCAAACGGTCCTTTGCACCTTCAGTAGGGCTTTGACATTTCCTGATATGGGTGATGCAGGCTTTCTGGTAAGTTTAGTCTGCCATTTGTTGTTGTTGTCACTTAACAGTGCGTATTAGGTAGTTATTAAGACTGGTAGATTCAAGAATGGTTAAAGTCTATTTTGTTCAGGCATTTTAATTCCTGGAGGTGAAATAGCAACAAGGTGCTAGAGCAAGCTGGCTAGCAAAGAACCATTGTAAAGCAAAGTTCAGCAGCACTTTATTACATATGATCTGGTCTTCAGCCCAAACTTCTCCATGTCAAGAACTGGGAGGGAGTAAAATGAGCTGCTCTTTCTTTGCTCTAAAGTTGTTTGCCCTCCATAGGTTTTGACTGAAAGGAGTCTAGCTAACCCTCTAGTCCTGGAAGGGAGATTTAAGCAGAGAGAGTCTGAGAGCAAGAGAATGTGTGCTGGCCAATAATGGCCATCACTGAACAGACCAGGTTACGACCAGGGCCAGGGCTGCAGTTTGACCACCTTATGGGGAAGGAGAAAGCAGGCGGAGCACAGTTGTTCCCTCCTGGGACAGTGGGGAGGAGGAGGGAGGGCAGGAGAGAGTTAGAGCTGGCCAGTTCTCCTGTGTGCACCTACCCCTTCAGCACCGTGAGTGGCAGGAGGGAGGGTCCCACACAGAGCCACACCTGTGTGGATGACCTTGTAGCCCTGGCAGCCACATCAGCTACTGCACTTGGCCCAATCACATTCTCTGAAGCAGATCAATATAGAGCAATTTTTATTGAGAGACAGGCAGCAATTTTTATTGAGAGGAGTGTTAGGAAAGCTTCATTTACCTCCTCAAGGTCTCCGTTTCCCCCCACTTTATTTGTTTCTTTTAAATCTTTAGTTCAATTACCAAGCTTATAATTATTTTATGCAATTTCAGTAATCTCTTTTCTCCACGTGTCTCCATAATGTCTTAATAAACTTCCTGAGGGAAACTCCATGCGAGATAGAATATGCTTGATCATAGGATGTGATTCCTCTTGGGATGTAAATTATCAATAAATGTCTTACAATGCCATTTTTATCTTGATGAGGTTAAAACAATCTCTGAGTAATTGGTATGGCGATAGCCCAGAAAATAAAATAACGTCATCAACCTCAAGGCTTCCTTATGCTTGACTGAAGGACAGATTCCTTTCCAGAGTACTGTGGTCACAATCTGTTAGAAGGAGAGAGCATTCATTTGGGGTATCAGGAAGAGGTTTTCTCCTGGGTCCTGCACTAGGCAGGATAGAAGCGACAGGCACACTGCGATGGGCACAGGCCTTCAGGAAGAAGAAGCATTAACTTGGTGTCGCTGACATCAACATTCAAACACATTTGAAGGACGCAGACCTAGACATGCATCTGGAATGACTCACTCTTTTTTGGACACACCCAATCAATATCTATTACTATATCAGATACTACATTCTTCTGAGAGATTTTTACCTCAATCCTTTGTGCTACTTTTAACTGTGCATCCCTTAGACCTGGGGCCTTAATCTCCACAAATTCCCTGAAAAGTTACAATTGAATGGTGTTTTGTAAAACACTACTATTTGTGATGCAATGTCATAAACAAGAGATGTTGGTGTTATGTCATAAACATGAGATGTTATTTGTCTACTTTCGCAGAGAGAAAAACTGCCAATCCCGGACCTTTGAAAAGAAGAAGCAGCAGAAGAAGCAAAAGAAGAGGTAAAAAGAAGTGATTGAAACACTTTTAATAGTTAACCATCTAGATTTTTATTTTATATTCTGCTCTGAGTGAAAAATCAGTTTTCTTAACTAGCTTAGGGGCAGCTAGTGTGGGAGCCACAAACTTGGCCACAAGTTCATTTTAAGAACTTCAATACCTGCTCCAGCTGAATCCAATCCCTAGAGCCTCACTCACATGGTGTTTGGGGCTCCCTGAGCAACGTGGAGTTTGTTTTTTATCAATTCATTGGAGTGATCCATAATAGACGTACATGATTTGGGGCTGCATGTGAAAATCTGATACTTTCATATAATTGAATCAGAGTAATTGGGATATCCATCACTTATAATACTGATCTTTACACTAGAAACATTTGAATTATTCTCCTCTAACTATGTTGGAATGTATAATTAATATTAACCATACGACCCCCTCCTGATCTATCAAATACCAGGTCTTATTTCTATCTACCTGTAGATTTGTCCCCATTAATCAACCTCTGCTCATCCCCCTTCCTGCAGTGAGCAGTGTCTTCTAGAACTCCCCTGCGCTGAGCTTCCCTTTCAGCCACAGGGAAAGCTCAGGGGAGGGACAGTGAAGCAAAGCAGACGGCCAAGGGGGAGACAGACGCCAGCCTGTTCGGTGTCCCCATTCACTGCCCTGCTGCCATCCTGCTCTCTCTTCCCCCAGGCGATGCCTCAAATAGGGAGACAAGACTAAAATTTGACAGGCTATTCTCCATCTCCATAACTTCAAAGCAATAATAGGGTTGGAAATGTCTCCTCAGATCACCAGGGGGAAAGTCACTGTGGGAGCAGTGGATGTGGCCATCAAGCTTGAGAGCTCAGATCCTGTCTCCCCAGGCTGTTGGGTGGGAATTTGGAGGGTGGAGCAGAAGATGACATTACCTACTGGTATCTAATCTGTCATGAAAGAAAGAGAAGAAGTGTAACTAATTCCTGGGGAAAATCCTTCAATTATTTTAAATTATAAAAGAAGGATCTGGGCTGGGCACGGTGGCTCCGGCCTGTAATCCTACCACTCTGGGAGGCCCAGCTGGGCGGTTCACTCAAGGTCAGCAGTTTGAAACCAGCCTGAGCAAGAGTGAGACCCCGTCTCAAATAAAAAATAGAAACAAATTAATTGGCCAACCAAAAATATATAGAAAAAATTAGCTGGGTATGTGGTACATGCCTGTAGTCCCAGCTACTCAGGAGTCTGAAGCAGGAGGATCACTTGAGCCCAGGTGTTTGAGGTTGCTGTGAGCTAGGCTGACGCCACAGCATTCTAGCCCAGACAACTGAGTGAAACTGTGACTCAAAAAAAAATAAAATTAAATAAATAAAAAAAGAAGGATCTGAAGAGGGTGAGAGAGATGCTGCCCAGTTGTAGAGGAAAATGGAATGAAAAAATTCCTTCCCTGCAGTTTCAAAGTTTCCCAGAGATGAAAGTATGAATTTTCTACTTCCTGAACTTCCTGTGACCTGTGGTGACATAAAGGGGATTCTGTATAAGGAGAAACTGAAACAAGGTGAGTTTCCTGGCCTTGTAGGATTTTCAACTGGAAAATTTCCACACAAATAGCACATTGTTGGGGAGTTGATATCTGCTTTGGGGGACCCCAAGACCAGCCCCGGGTCTGATTTGCTAGGAGCTCTCCTAGGACTTGGTAGAAAGTCACACTCACAGGTCAGGTTTGTAAGACTGAAAGGACACAAAGCAAAGTCAACAAAGAGAAAAGGCACGTGGGGTGAAGTCCAGAGGAAACCAAGAGCCAGCTTCCAAGAGTCCTTTCTGGGTGGAGTCTCACAGGACTCACTGCTTGCAGGTCAGAGAACTATACCCACATGGCAGGGAGTTCCCTACTTCCCTGGCCTTTCAGCCTGAGTGTGGGGCCCCTGATGACTGAGGGGACAATTCAGACTTTCCTGCTACTGATCCTGAACCCAAAGTGGTGGCTCCAGATCCAAAGTGGGGGAGGCCAAGTGCAGATGTTTTTATGGGTGGGAACTCAGCTCGTCTTGGTCTTACAGGAACCTCAGAGAAGTGTATAAAGAGTGAGACGAGAAGGTGGTTCACTCTCAGGCGATTTGAAATTAAAGGAGGCTATGAAAAAACCAGCAACTGGAAGCTAAGCATACGCTGCGGTGGATTTACCCTGAAAGAACTAATAGAGGTATTGTACTGACAAACAGTTTAAATCAAGGATTTGGCTGTCACATCAGGCTTTCCAGGATTTCTCAGTGTCCGGAAAACCATCATGACTCTCCTTGCCCGGGGGCTAATGCATATGCTGTTCCTACTAATAACATTGCCCCAGGTGTGACCATGGCTGGCTTACACTACAACTTACTCCTCTAAGCACAGTAACTCTTCTCCTTTTGAAGATAGGACATTAAATTGTGGCCTTGACTCTGCCATGAATAAACTGTGCAGTTTGGTCACATGAAAGTAACTTAAATTGGAGAGAAAGGGGTCATGAACTTTCACGGCAATGTTAAAAATAACATAGTAGAATTATATATCTGAAAATAATACATCAGGATAGATAGTTCCTACATTACACAACATTTCAACAATATTCTCTCTCATAAGCCACCTCAAATTTGTTCTCGAAAGACAATACAAATAAATTGCATTTGAAACTGGCTGCTTTGCTCCTCATATGAATCCCCTGATGTGGACAAAGCAGGGACAGGGTTTTTGTGCAGAGGAACCTGTGTCTTTTGACTCTGGATACAGTGGTTTCTCAGTTGCTCACCTCAGACAGCCCTTCCCTGGGCCACTCTAACCACAAAGAAAAGGTCTGTGTTAAGCAAATGTTTACTGAGGTGCATCTAAAGCCATGAGAGAGCACAGGTGTGAGCCCTACCTGGGCAGGGGCTGTGCTTTAGAAGCCACAGGCCTGCACAGTGTGAGTGCTCTGAAGAGAGACACCTGCAGGGAGGGATGCAGCAGGAAGGAAGGTCATTTCTGCCTTTGAGTTTGAGGATGTTTTCTTGGAACAGTTTGGATGAACTGGGTATAAAAAGCAGAACAGTCCTGACAAGCAAAAATGTAGAACAGGACATTCTACATTCATAAGAAAGGATGGCATGAATTTCTGCTCCACAAAGTGTTAATAAAAGCTGTGGATAATGAGGCGTGATACATTCACTTGACTCATTGTGGACATTATGAGGCCAAAGGAAGTCATCTAAACACTTCCTTTATCCTTTAATCTCTGAGGAATTGTGGAAAGTACCTTGGATTTGAGTTGAAAGTGGGATATGCAAGTGGAAATATCTGGAAGACGTTCAGAAATATTGAGCCCATAAAATAAAACAAGGACCTATCATATCATTAATCTCTTTTCTTTCAGAGAGGATATCTGCAAAAACCACCAAAAGGCAAAAAAAAGTGATTATCACGTGACTTTCTGCTGATGCCTCATCGCTAATATTGTTGGTTTTCCATCGCTGTAGCCTTGCTGTCTTTAAATTGACCAATCATGATAAAATTTAATTGTATAATATGGTGCTTTTGCAGTTGCTGGGTTCAAACATTATATAATGTATAAGGCTGGGACTTTGAGCAACAAAACATTTGAGATAAAGGTGGGAACAATCCTTAAAAATAAATAAGACAGATGTCTTCTTTTTAGAATGTCATGTGTTCTTTTGGATAAATGCCCCGTAATGAGATTACTGGATCAAATGGTAGTTCTACTTATATCTCTTTGAGCTATCTCCAAATTACTTTCCACAGAGTTTGTACTAATTTGCTGTCCCACCAGCAGTGGATGAGTGTTGCTATCTCTCCGCATCCATACCAACATTTATTGTTTTGGGATTTTTTGATAAAGGCCATTATCACTAGCTATAAGAGATATCTCATCGTGGTTTTGATTTGCATTTCCCTGATGATTAAAGAGATCTTATATGTAACCTAAACATTTGTACCCGCGTAATGTACTGAAATAAAAAAAATTAAAAACAAAACAAAAAATAAATAAATAACACAAAATTGATCTTGTGAGTGATTTAATAACAGATCCGAATGAAACACTTTCTTAAAATTAAATATAAAGGATGGGTCTAGACTTGGAAAAGCAAGCATGATTTTGAAATGCACAAAACAATACATTGAACAGCTATTGTCTTTAAAACCTAAAATTAAACACTGATTGTTTTTATTGGTTTTTATAGTTTCTGTCTTTGATGAAACAAGAATGAAGCAAAAGTTCCCTAGAAACATCCGATGGTCACTTCAGATAACCTAATGTAGAATTCCCTCCGAACATATGTGTAGCCATATTCACCCATGGAAGCAAAAAACAGAAAATGCCTTCTCTTTCTTTCTTTTGCCTTTTTGCTTCACCACATATGCACACAGGCACAGACACACACACACACACACACACACACACACACACACACACACACACACACACACAGGTTTTCCTTCGGGCCACCCTTGAGAGCAGAGTGACTGGGAGGCAGAAGTGTCCTGCAAAGCTGCTGACCAGGAAGAAGGTTTCCTGTGTGCGGAGGCTTCTGCCCACCAGAGACGCCGTGCAGACCTCACTGCCATCCAGGAAGCAATCCTCCCTCCATGGAAGTGGCATGTGGAGTTCACGGACCACCGGTCTCCTGCTGGGTGGATTCCAGGGCAGGTGGTGAGAGCCTGTGTGCTCTCCACGGCCTCTCCAAGGCTGAGCTGAGGGAACCTGGGAAGGAAGGAGGTGGACGAACTTCCACTTTCCTAACCTCTGACACCAGTGACCTTGCATAACTCTGCCACACCAGGACATCGTGGTTTTCACAGAGCTGGCTTCTGGGGCTATTGGCTACCCTGGCTTGATGACTAGAGACTCAGTGACTAGGCTCTGCAGCCACTGGGATTTCTACAGAAGGACAGATTATTTCATCTATTTCTTAGGGCCAAATATATCTGTCCAGAGAGTCCAGGGAGACTCAGTTGGGCCAATAAATTGAGTTGGCCTCCTGCATCCCTTCATTGCAGTCTCCCTCTCTCTATTCCCTGTGCTCCTGGGCCCACAGGGGTGACTGCCTCAGTTCTCAGAGGGTCTCTCCAAAGGGTCTCCTTCCCCAAATCCTTGGCCTCTGATGCTCCTGTCACTCGCAGCTGCACATGGCAGGTGCTGCTGTTGGCAGCTTCCGTGCTCCTAAGTTTCTTGTTAAACCTGCTGCTGGCAGCTGACAGGCTCTGGGATAGTAAGATATAAAAGTCCAAGATGATTATTTACTGTCTGCTAAGAAATCTCTTTCCCTGAGTGACAACAATGTTCATTTGTTCATGCACTTATGTGTCCATTCAACAAACAAATGTGGAGCAACTACACAGGCCCACGTGATGGGGCCAGTCATGGCAATGCAAAGCAGGACAAAAGGCAGCCTTAGGGGCTGTGTCAGCCATGTTCTTTTAACAGGGGCATAACTAGTGGGGTGAGGTGAGGGATTCTAGGCCACTCAGATACCATACCAGCTCTTGGCCAAAAGGCCAAGAAGTAACAACCCAGGCCAAACAGAGACAGTGACAAGTCCTCTTCTCCCATGATTGTGCCTTGGATCACACTGGGTGCTTTGTCTGTGGCCTCTGCCCTGGCTGGAGGTAAACGCTGAAGCAGTCACTGTTCCAGAGCAGAAAGAGGCTGAGTCATTCCTCAGATATCCAAGGTCAATGCAAGCCCTTGGGATTCAAGAGAAAGTGGAGAGGTGCTTTCGTTCAGGAAGAAGAGCTGCAGCACTGGGGACCTTGGAGGCATTTTATCTTCAGGGCTGTGTCCCCGAGGAGCTGCAGAAAGTAACAGAGTTCTCTTCTGTGATGCTTGCACAGCCTCCAGACTCTGGGCCCTGGGGTCACTGTGGTGAACCAGAGATAATTATCAGCCTGATTCCCTTTGCAGCTCTTCTGAGTGGGATGCTACTTTCTAATTTACAGAAAAATGCCTAAGGGAAGGAGGAGAATAAGGATGAAAAGATGGCGGACAAGAAGCAGCCTGTGAGCATGCCACTCTTAAGGAAAGGATCGTAAGTTGCAGGCCGATGCCTCCCTACTGATGGCTCTTCTCAGAAGGAACATTGTCAAACCCCAGAGAAGTGCTGTGGGACGCTCAGTGTGAAGGAGAAACTGACAGGTGATTCACTTGACAAGGTCAAATGATCTGTGGGGAGACATCTACACATGAGGAAGATAGGGAGGATGGAGACCTGGGGTGCATGCTCACCCCTCAGGCACTGCGGCATGAGTCGTGAGAGGGCTACCTCCACTGCCACAGACACTGTCTGGACAGACTGGGGAGCTGCCTCGAGTCTGTGCATGGTCATTGCACTGGAGAACAGGTGCAGTAAGGATCTGGTGGCTGTCAATCCCAGGTTTCTACAGATGATTCCACCCTGAGCCCTCAGATACATAGCACCAAGTTAGCACAGGACTCAGCTTTTCAGCAATAGCCTTCATATCTCCCTTACCAGGCTTTGAAGAGGGCAGACAGAGACAGATGCTCCCCTGGGCTGTGCCCTGTGTCTAGGAGTCTAGCACCCCTCCCCCCAGCATGCTGGGATCTGAGCAGAGGAGATTCCTTGGGCCCTAGAGACTTGATCTTGGAAGTTTTGGGTGACTGCCTCAGCACGACTTGGCATGAGAGGAGAACTCTGTGGTCCCTGGGCTGCTGGATGCCTGTGCAACTGGGCATCTGAGGTCCCTGAGCTGCTGGATTACTCTGTGGCCTGGGACCCCTGCTTCTGCAAACCCAATTTCTGGCTCTTAGGCACTCACCCTTCAATCCGAGGTTCCATACCTGTGGCTCCGGAGCTCCTGCCAGGCCCAGATCACTGCCTCTGAGACTCCAGCACTGCACCTAGAATCCAAGACCCCACCCCTGAGTATCCACCCCTGGGACAGCAGATCTGTTCTGAGATCCAACGACTCCCCCACAGGGACCTGCAAGCCTCAATCTACCATTACACCTGGACCTGATTTGAGCAAATGCCCATAACCCAGGCACCCATGACGACAACCTAGATAACAGCCACTGTCACCTCTGTAGGGAGAGCCTGGAAAGAGCAATCCTTACAATGCCACCCTTCATGGGGAGTTTCTAACCCAACCCCCAACAGGAACTTCCTACAATGATCTGGGGGATAATCCACCACCCAACACAGAGATCATCCAGCACTGGATTGAACTGTGGCATTCCCAGGTGAATGGGACAAAACAGAACAACTACACTATAGGCTTATAGGGCACACACTTTTCCCCTGCTCGGTCAACATTTCAGACTAGGAAAAATGTACAATATAGGGACTGCCCCTTCTTCTAATGGAGCAGGAGAAGTCCCAATAAAGGACAATAAGTGCTCTCTAAACCTATTTACACTGAGTTGAGAAAAGAGATGTCAAATGAGAAGAAACCAGTAAAAATATCTAACAGGAAAAAAACATACAGTTTGACACTCCCAAGTCATCACAATGCAGCTACAGTAATGGATTACAACCAAAGGAAATGGCTAAATTGAAAGAAATGTAATTTAGAGTATTAATGGCAAATAAGATGTGTGGAATTGAAGAACAAGTTGAAAACCAACAAAAAGGAGACAACAGAATATTTCAGGAAATCAATTAATAAGTTGCTAAAGATCTAAACAACATAAGAAAGGATATAATAGAACTTAAGAAAATGAAAGAGCCATTTAAAGAATTTTGAAACATAGCAGAAAGCTTCAACAAATTAAACCAAAGAGAAGAAAGATGCTCAGAGCTTGAGAAAAGGCTCTCAAGCTAACCCAATCATTTAAAGAGGCAGAAAAGGGAATAAAAAAGACTGAACGATCATTTAAAAAGATATGGGACTATGCAAAGCAAACTAATATACAAACCATAGGTATTGCTGAGGGAGAAGAAGAAAGAGCTAAATGTATGGGAACTTTATTCAAGGGAATTGTTGAGAAAAACTTCCCTGGTATTGCCAGAGATTCGGAAACCTAGATACAAGATGATCATCAAACACCAAGAAGATTCATAGCAAATAGGACATCGCTAAAACACACAGTAATCAACCTGACCAAAGTCAAAATGAAGGAGAAAATTCTACAAACAGCAAGATGAAAGAAACAACTGACCTACACAGGAAAACCCATCAAGCTAATGGCACACTTCTCAGCTGAGATTTTACAAGGCAGAATGCATGGAGGCTCCATCATCAATCTTTGTAAACAGAACAACTGCAAGCCCAGAATTTTGTATCCTGCAAAACTAAGTTTCACAAGTGGAGGAGAAAGAAAGTCTTTTCCAGTTAAGCAAACACTGAGGGAATTTGTCATGACCAGCCCTTCTCTGCAGGAAATAATAAAGGCATCACTAAAACTGAAACCTAGATTTGGGCTAATCCACATGGCCTTAGGCTGCTCCAACCAACCATCCCTCACCCCATGTCCCTGTGCTCATGCAGACAGGTTGACTCCAAGGAGACCCAACAAGGGGCAGACACTCCCATTCCGCAAGTCCCCCAGTCAGAGAAGTCTCCACCACGGGACAGAAGGGGTCAGGGAGGGACACGGCATGTGGCCCTGATTGGTGTGCGGCTCCTAGAAGGAGATGCTGCAGCAGGACTGAGTGCTCCCCTGAAGGTCCCAGGCTCCTGCTCTTCACTCCCCATTTCCACCTGCTGGAAGGTAGCCAGGTTCTCCATCCTCATGTCTCATGGGCACCCTTGCTGTGCCTACAGCTGCTCTGTCCCTTGAACTCTCCAGTCCAGGATGCCAACTACCTTAGTCAGTGGAGGAATGCACCATTGGTCCCTACCGGGTCCCTCCCTACTTGGAGAATCACCCCCACTTTTGAAGTCGGAACCGAAGCTGCTCTTGCTGAAGTATATCAAGCCTCTCACCTAATCAGGCCCCCTGCCCATTGTCCTTCCTCAATGACTGCTCTCCTTCTGCCCAGTTTCCCAGACTCCAGTAACATGAGTTTCCTCTGCCACAGCACAAAGGTTCCCTGTTGTCACTGCTCCTTACAGCCACAGAAAATGCCCCAAGAGTTGCATTATTTCTTCCCATAAGTCCAGCAGGATTTTAGAAGCTCTCCCTGTTTCTTAATTTGATCCTGTCTCTTTCCCAATTGCAGTGGGTCTGACATTGTTGTCTGGATCAAAGAAACTTTGCTTTCTCCACAAAGACCTACAGATTCTTCATAAACCGCCATTACTTCTGCAGAGTGTGGTGCATGCTCACCTTTCCTTAGCCCCGTAACATGAATGTCCCCTTCCCCACTGCCAGGGACAGCACCGGCATGGGAGTGTCCACCTGAGACGGTCACCCTGTGTATTGCCCCACCTAGCCTGCTGCCCATTGTCCTGGAATTGCAGGTGCTGACCTTAGCAGACCCTGAGCAGACCTGGGGAAAAGCTGGCACATTTCTGTCAGTGCTGGCTCAGCTGTGGCCTGGGCCTGCCTGCTGCCTAGGGACAAGAGCAGAGAGGGGACGCCACAGCAGGCTGGTCCGGTCTGTGCATGGCCTAGTTGGGGCCACGGTGCCATAGGGAAGCTGGGAGCAGACGGCAGCTGTGCCCAACAGAGGCTCAGCTCACCAGCTCCTCTGCCCACAGTCAGGAGTTGGGGGAGAGAGACACAGAGAGAGGGAGATCTAAGGGTGTGCGGCACCTGGTAGACACAGGGACCCTGCCCTCTGGAAAAGATGTCCTCATCAGTGTCCTGGAGTCTGTCCCAAGCAGACTGGTGCTCACGTGCTCCTTTGGGGACAGAGAGAGCAGAAGCGGACGAGGGTGGAAACCCCCTCTCCCACATTGTCACGTGTGACCGACAGTCACCCTGTCCACAGCTGGGGGGGGAGGGGCGGATTCAGTGGGAGCCGATGTGGAAAACATCCCTGGAGCCCTGTCCCCCCGCCCCGAATCCCGCCTGCCCCCCCCCGCTCCCCGGCCCTGGATCCCAAGGCCCCGGCCCCGCGGCCTCCCCGTCTCCGCCTTGGCTGCTGGGCGGACGCGGGCGTCGTCCAGGTCGCTGCGCACCCTGTGCGGACCGAGGGCTCAGAACCCGAACGAACCGTCTGGCAGTGACGCAGCTCCGAGGCTAAGTCCCCCGGCCGGTCACCTGCCCGTTCCTTCTGGATCACCTGGCTCCCACCTCCAGCTCCCCAACGAGAGCGTTCGCCCTCTCAGGTCCCGGTGACTTCCTCGAAGCTCTGGCGTCTCTCCTTCACCCCGGAGTTGTAGCAGCCCCGCAGTCAACGCGCCTTCAACCCTCGCGCCTACGACGTCAGCCGCTGCCAGCACTTGGCTCCAGCCTCCCGCCCCAGCGCGCCCTCCCGCGTCCGATGCCGCGTCTCGGCTCTAGCCAGCCCGTGTGCGCATGCGCAGACCTGACTCGGCCGTCCGGGCTCTGCCACGGGCCTGGGAGAGATTCAAGTGTCTGGCTTTCCCTCCAGCCTGCCCCCAGTACGACAGCCTTCTCAGCAAGGGGAAGAGGAAACATGGAGTTTACCACCACTCCCAGTAACCTTGCCAACTTCTTGGAAGGCAGAAGCAGCTGAGGCCAATTTGGGTTCGAGTGGATGTTTTTTTCTGTCCTTTGCACAAACACGTGGGCTCCTGGGAGCTGCCCCTGCTTGTCCTGGGGTCCTCCTTCCTGGTCCTCCAGGTCTTGCCCGGGGCCTCTGCCACATTTCAGGAAGCTGAGAAGCGCTTGGAGTGAAGGGGGAGACACAGTGTCCACAGCCCGCCATGAGCTTGAATAAATACTTTCACTTCTCATTTCCCCATTTGGCCGGAGCCGTCCCTGGGTAAGTCTGTGTATTGTTTGACTTTCTGCTCAGAGCCCAGGCCGTTACCCTGGACTCAGGCCAAGAAGACTGGAGGGACTGAAGGCCGGGCTCTGCGGATGGCAGGCGGGGGCCACGAGCTGTACATTGGGTGAGTCTTTATCTCTCTCCTCATTCCTGGCAATATTGCTGCTTTTGTGCCTTTAGTCCAGTTCCTGTCTAAAGCTTCACCTGAGTTGAGTCCTGCTTTGCTAGGACACAATATGCAGTAAAATGAGATCAAAGAGTATATAATGGGGAAATTGGGGTTTTAAACTGCAGCAGGACAGCTGTTGGTGTGAGTCCAGCTTGCCGTAACAAACGTGGCTTCCTTGTTTGCAGCTGCTGCTCAGCTGGCCAGGACTCTCTGAACACAGGAGTCCTTTGAGGCAGGGATGTGTTATTGCCCCCATGAGCTCTTAGCCCTCGCATGTCCCTCTGCCTTCCTCTACCTTCACATAGGTCTTGTCAAAGAAGGTAGTTCAGAAAATAGATGCTCAGAGGTGAACACCTGGCTTACTTTAAACATTGGATTCTGTGGTCTCACCTGTCCTGGCCCCGGGGGTCCTGTGACTCCTGGGCTATTTCTGTGACTGGCTTGGGGTCTGAGTTCTTCCTCCATTGATCTTGTTCAGAAGAAGAAACAGGAAAAGAAAGGGCCAGGATGGCAAAAGATTAGTGCAAGCCGAATATTTCTATTTTCACTCTAATTTCCTGTTCCAGGATGGAGGATACCTCTGAAAAGAAAAGGGATAGAAATCCTGTCTTTTCTCATTCATAAAGCTTCAAACAACATAGAGGTACATGGTAGCTTCCTTTCCTGGTCTTGTCAAGAGTCTAGAGTACAGCCTTCCTCATCTTTTTCTATGCATACAAGAATTATGTTCCTGTCTTGTAATAAATGGGATTACATTGCACATGTGATTATTTTGGCCTTTTCACTTATATTAAGAGTGAAAATCTTAGACATCTTTTTACCTTAATACATATAGACCTATCTCATTTATTTCACCAGCTATTAATACATGCTATGCCATAGAATTGATATACCATAATTTTTTAACCATTTCCCATTTGAAGAATATTTAGGTTGTTCACTTTCACCAACAAGCTATAATAACAATGTTTATATGTTTTGAGTTTTTTGCATGCATACAAGTATTTAACTTGTGTCAAAACCTTAAAAAGTGGAATTATTGAGGCAAAGAATGCTAATATTTACTTGTTTATAGATCTTGCCAAATTGCCTGTCCAAATGTATGAATCAATGTATTTTTCTACCAATACCAGATGAGACAGACAAGCCATCTCCCCACATCCAGCCAAAACTTTGCAATGCTGATGAATTAAGGAGTTGCATCCTGTTTTAATTTGCATTTTCCTCATTACATAGGAAGTTGAAAAGGTTTTCATTTTTATAGGCCATTTGAATTCCTCTTCTATAAATTATCCATTTTATTTCTTGCCTGTGTTATTCAGTTGAGGTGGCTATCCTTTCTTTTATGATATGAGAGCTCGCTAAATATTCCAGTGAGCATAAATATACTTTTCTTGTCTTTTAACGTTGTGTGTGGTGACTTTTATCTTATTAAGGCTTAAAATTAGACCTACCATGGTATTGATTTTATATGATAGATGCACACTCATAGTTATAAATAAAGTGATGCAGAAAGTTGCTGACATATTCCATGAGCACTGCCAGTTTTTAAGGTAGTTCTTATGTTCTTGAAGGTGGCAGATTTGCTTCTACCTTTATTTCAAAGGTTTCTTCTCTAATATCTGTCAAAATTTTTTTAATTTTTAGGCCAAATTATTATTTTATTGGTACAACTTTAGCCTTAAGAGCTCTTCTTTGCCTGCTAGTACTTTCATCTTTTCAGTTTTTTATTTTGTGTTCACAATGCTTGTCTCAAACTTTTCTTCCATGACAACTATTTAATTATTAGTAGGTTTCTGTTTCTTGTAACTTTTAATTTTTTTTAAAAAAAATATTGATTGTATTTCTTTTTAAGGGGGATCTTAACTTGTTTCTATTGCTCTGCAATCTCCACTTTAACCCATATTTTGTTGATTTATTGTCCCATTTTCACGTTCTTACTTCATTTAGGTTTTTGTTTGGCATTAGGCACTGTGGCAATATTCTTCTTATGTTCCTCAGGTTTCATTCTATGTTTCTTTGTTCTCTCCTATGCTTGCCATGGCTTTAAAACCTGTCTCACTTCATCCCAAACTTCCCGCTTAATCAGTCATAATCTGAGTGAAAATATTTTTTCACATTTCCTGCCTTGTCTGAGACCAAACTGTTTCCCATCTGGGCTACAGTTTGAAGGATTTCTTTTGGCTCTTAACAGTTTTTCTGAGGACATGAATAATTGATAAAACCATCCTTTTCCCCACTCATTTGCAGTGCTATTCTTTTCCTTAACCAAGTTCCCATACAGGTGGGTGCTCTTTTGTGTTCTCTCTTCTCTGCCATTGGTCCGTGATTGCCTCTGCTTGTGCTAGTACTATACTGTCACAATGGTGACAGCGTCCCAACAACTCCTGATACATGGTACAGCACATGTTCTTCTTCTCCTCTCCCTCCAAAGTGTCTTGACCTTTGTGCTTCCAAGTCAACTTGTCAAAACCTTACTGGGATTTTGTATCTGATTGTATTGAGTCTATGAATCAATTCGAAGAGATTTGACATCTTTACAATATTAAGTCTTTTGTCTCATGAATATGGTATGTGTATATACTAATTTTAAAATATTTCCTAATGAAATTTCTATTTTTTTGTCTGAAGGTTTTGTACTTCTAGATTTTATTTATCTTTATGCTATTATAAACTATAATAGTCCTCCCTTATCCGTGATTTTGTTTTCCATGGTTTCAATTATCAGCGGTCAACTAGGTTCTGAAAATATTCAATTGAAAATTCCAGAAATAAACAATTTGTAAGTTAGAAATGGCATGCCACTCTGAATAGTGTGTTGAAATCTCATGCAGTCCCTCTCAGGGGTGTGACCCATCCCTTTGACCAGCTTCTCTACACTGTAGATGCCACCCACCTGCCCATTGGTCACTTAGAAGCTGTCTCAGGTATCAGATCAACTGTTGTGTTATCACAGTACTTGTGCTCAAGGAACCCTTATTTTACTTAATAATGGCCCCAATGTAGGATGGTGGTGACGCTGGCAGCCCAGATATGCCATAGAGAAGCCATAAATCTCTTCCTTTAAGTGAAAAGGTGAAGGTTCTAGGCAATCAGGAAAGAAAAGAAATTGTATGCTAAGGTTGCCTAAGATCTACAGTGCAATAAGATATTTTGAAAGAGAGAGACCACACTCACATAGTAGACACTATTGTACTATATTCTCTCCTATGTGTGATTCTGTATAGATGACCCCTGTTCTGACCTATGGTTCCATTTTTTATTTGTTTCCTACTGAAATGTTTTAGTTATTATGATTTTATAGGTAATGTTCTGTAACCTATCTTGCTGGGATTCAACTGAGAGACACTAAATGAAAAGATAAATTTAGGAAGAATTTATATTTTAAAAAACTCTTGATCCCAGCTACAAACATGTATATCTCTTCATTTATTCAAGTTTTCAGGTATTTGAAGTTCTATAATAATGTTAAATGAGTCCTGTGGCATTTTCATCAGATCAACTTAGTGCTAGGCATTTTTAAATTTTATTTGTATATACCCATCCTTCCTCCCACCTGCCTGACACCAGATAAATGTTTTGTTTTGTTTTTTAACATTTGGTTACATTTTATATCTTTGCCTCTCCCTAGCAAGGGTTAGAGGTATGAAATGAGTGCGATGGGCACCACCTGGGGGATGGACACCCTTCAAGCGCTGACTCGAGGGGGGAGGGGAGGTAAGGGCAATATACATAACCTTAATATTTATACCCCCATAATATGCTGAAATAAAAAATTAAAAGAAAATTTTATTTGTAAGTGGAAACTCATTTTTATTTTATATTTCCTAATTATTTATTGGTGGCATGAGGAAGTCTATCAGTTTTTGTTTGCTGATCTTGTACAAAGGAATTTTACTAAGTGGTCTTCCTTCTGAAATTCTCTTGTATTTCTCTGGCGGAACAGCTACATATTCAACTATAGTAGGAGTTCTGTCTCCTCCTTTTCAGAATTTATACCTCTATATTTTTCTTTTACTTGTTTACTTCCTCTCTCTTATTTATTTATTTATTTTACAGTTTTCTATGTATGCACTTTATTAGAAGAAATAATCAGTAGAAAACAAACTGCAAAAAAATTTTTTAAATATTATCTCCAAGTCCAAACTATTATTCTATGCCACAAGAATAAAGTAACATTGTTCAAAAGTTCATAAGTCTGACATTGGAAATTTTTCCTGAAATAACAATAAAAGCTATTATCTCTTCTGGACGACTTTAAGCAGTTGCATTTATTCCATTTGCTCTTTCAAATGTATAAGTACAGTCATCATGAGATCTTACTTCCAGGTCCAAAGACTATGAGCTTCCAATACACGCAGGTGTTCAGCTGCTGGCCAGGCTGTTAATTCCAAATTGTCAGGTCTCGAGCTGGCTGCATCAGAATCACCTAGGGAACTTTTAAAAACTTATATTACAGTACTCCACCCACAAAACTACTGAATTCAAATCTTCAGGGTACAATCAGGAATCTATTTTTATGGTTCCTAAGTGTTTAGGGTAAACCTACAAGCTTAAGAATTGCTGAGTTCACTGGTATCTGGGATTTTTTTGTTAATTTGAACGTAGATTGGGAGGACTGACCTAAGTTGCATTTAATGATTATAATATTCTGTGGTTTAACAAATGTTAAATAATTCACACATTACAGTACAGTATATAACTAACACCTAGACCAAGGTATAGAAAAATCCCAGAACAGAAACCTTTTTGTTTACACATTCCCAAACACAATTCCTCCCTCCCAAGGAAAAGGAACCATTATACTCTTTATGAATATTATTTCCTGGTTTTTCTTTATTGTTTTACCACCCATGTATATATCCTTAAACAAATGTTTATTTTTAATTTTATATAAACTGATTTATATGATTTCTTTTACATTTGGCTTCCTTTTTTTCAAATTATGCTTGTGA